GAACAGATTTTATTTCATTCCAGTTTGGTCGAGGAAATGTTCACGTCTCCCTGGGCACAATGTACGAATGCAAAAATGGCAGGCTTATTACCCTATAGGAAGCTCTCGATTAACAGCTGAAAATATATGAAATACAGAAAATATATTCAGCTAAGCTAAGTATAAAACTCCTGCCCAGGAAGCTGTTTGCAGTCTGCCTTTACGTAGGTTTTGTCGTCCATTGCGGATTTTCACGATGCTCGTGCAAAATTTTAATACGTTGCTCCTTTGCTTGGAAGCTATTTTGATAACTGAGGAGCAAATGTCAAAATAAAAATAGAGGCATCATCAGAGGGGTAATCAGGTTTTTGACATGCTCAACCGAATTTTGATCGTAACATTTTTGTAAAGGAACTTCACCCACCTTATATGTATGATACTTAATGCCTCCACCGCCATTATTGTCAGAACAAAAACTCCTAAAACTATATTACCCCACCAGATTCCGATGAGAATCTCAAGTCACTAAGACAATTTGTGGTTCATTTACTAGCGCATAAAATGTTGACCCAGCTATCAGATCTATCGCAGGAAAAAAAATGGGAATTGAACCTTTATTTCCATCATTTTTTGTTGCACTCCTCTCTTCTCCACTCATCCGACACACATTTCGACGATTCGGACGGACATGAACGATATTTGTAGGCCCTGGCTACCTCCTATATATATACTGGAATGACCGTCTGGCAGTGACCGGCAGCAAAATCGCACCATAAATCGGATAAAAATCGGCCTGATTTGATTGCGTGCTTCCAGACAGAAGCTCCCTGCCCGAACGGAAAGGGGCTTTTCGTGTTGGGACTTGCCGCCTACAAGCTTTCCGCTCCCGGTGGTAGTAAATCTATTTCAATAGAAACATGCACGCCAGTTCGCAGCCTTTCAGCCCTCACGGTGTGGCCCGGGAAGTGAGGTGTAGTACCTACGTAGGATAGTCCTTTAGTATGCTCCTACGCGTAGGATGGACAATGGTGGAGTTGGGGGTCGTGTGGTACGACTACAACATGTGATCGGATCGTTCACCGTTAGGCCTGGGGATAGGGTCTCGTATTGATTAAATGGGAGGATATTGGGTAATAAATTTAGTTGAATTCTTTTTCTTCCTTCATGTTGGAGAGCACTTTCCTTCGTCCTTCTGATGATGATGGCAAGGCTTCTAGTTCCAGGTCTAGATGAACCTTGTGCGTGTTCTGAATGGCCAGTCATGGAAGAGAGGATTGGCGATTGGTTACGGTGAAATGAACGATTTTCACACAGTCACACATATGCTTCATGGTAGCTACTTTGCGTGCTGAATCCGTGGAATTGCGGGGGCAGAAGATGTATGTTACGCAAATTTTGCGAGAGTTCTAATTGATTCCAGAGTTCTAGGCCTGAGCAGGTAGTCGAATTTTTGGTCGCATATTGATCGAATGACCTCTTTTGTATCCTTTAAAAATCGACTTCATTTGTATTCTTTACACGGGTTTTTTTTTTAATTTTGTGCGAACCGCAACGAGGATGAAAAAAGTGTTCGTATCCTTCGTATCGCAGCTGTTCTATTCGGCTCGCAAGATTTTTCTATGATTAATATGAAAAAATAATAATAAATAAATACAGACAAAACTAGAATATGTCAAAAGCCGGATGTCACAACAGCTGGAAAGAAAGAATTTCACATAAAAAACAAGCGTTGGAAAGCATTTATACAAATATTGTTGGTTGCAACTAAAACTGGAATGCTCCAAAAATGCAAAAAGTGTGATAAAAGTGCATGTTTACGTCAAATCGTTTTGTTTTCTTCGGGGCACTTATTTCTTGCTCAGATATTATAGCGGCGCCGGTGGTGTAGGGGTAAGCGTGATTGCCTCTGCATTAAGGGACCCCCTTTTGGAGCATCACCCTCTTTTCGGAGATTCCCTTCCAGGGCCACCAAATTAAAAACTCCGTAGCTAAAACCTCTATTTCTAGGGCCCACGCCCTTTTGGGAAATCCCCTCTGGAATTCCCATCCCCTCAAATAGGGGAATCCCCATCTGGGATTCCCAGAGATGAACCAGCCCACGGCTAAAAGTCTCTTTATATAAAAAAAAAAAAACAGTTATCATGTTCATTGGTAAATCAAAGTTGGCACTCGTGGAGAATAGATGAACTATGAGTCGCGGGGCACGCAATACAAAGAACAGGTGCGTTTAAGTTAAAATGCAATCAAAAGTACTTAAAGTAATTAATGCGTTTTGAAGTAGTACTGACGGTAATTAAAATTATCTATCTGTAATTAATGTAATTAAAAGTATTGAAAATGTAACTAATGTACTTTAATTACGAAAATTCGACTGTAATTAATGGAGTTAAAAAGTAGTTAATGTTCTACATTGTGCAATTAATATAAGTAAAGCAGTAGTTAATGGAATTAATTTAATTACAGCCGTTGCCTGCGTTGGAGTTAAAGCTTATTGCGTGCTTCTAGCTATGAGTGTGATGATGGTTTCAAAACTTTACACGGGGAGGTAGGGTAGAGCGCTACTTTGTCGTAATCGCTCATTTCCGTTCTATCGAGCAGAAATCATCAATAATATCCATGATTTCACCGTACACAAATCAATAATACGTTTTTTTCCGATGCGTTAGCTCATAAGCTACAACACAAAGCCCATACGAGTGCGTTGTTTGAATATTTAAACCCATTGTTCTTAAAACAAAAGAAGCGCTCCTACCAAATCCATTTTTTGTTGTCTTCATTCGTAGAACGAAGAGAAACCTAGAAAAACTAATGGCCTTTCTATGCGTTAGGACCAGGTTAGTGACAAGGCCTATACCAACAGCAGCGTTTGACAATAGGCAGCATGTCCCGGGATCACTCCATTTTTATTTATTTTTTTCCTTTTGGTTTGTTTTTTTCCGTCGATCTTGTTTTCCGTGCTGAGCACCAATGCTACAGACGTGCCATGAAGGCAGCTCCCACACCTGGACCCTACCTATCGACCCATCAACTCATGAACCGGGGACCAACGGCTTTACTTCCCATCAGAAGGAAGGCGTGATCAGAGATGTTATGCCTCAGAACATCCCGGCGGCGCCGACTGGGATTGAACCCAGGCCTGCTGGGGTGAGAGGTAATCACGCTTACCCACTCCATTTTTAAGTTCACATCATTTCGAGAAAGAGAGGTTAAGTGTGGGTTATGCTTAGTAGGACGGAAATTAGAACCCTATACGAGTGCAATCTTAAAATGCTTTTATTTGCAAATGAAGCATTTTATTTTAATCTGGTTAATGCTACGTAAGTAGAAAACTTAAGGACTACTCAATAGACATATAATTTAGAAAAAAATAATATCTTTTCAGATTTTTAGGTGTATACATAGATTTCAGCTTTTCAACCACTGTAGCAGCAACCAAAATAAAATAAAATGCTCCATTTGCAAAATAAAAGCATTTAAGATTGCATTCGTATACCTCCCCGTGGAAAATTTAGAAAACATTATCGCTTTCATAGTTCTAGATAGAGCTGGAACGAGAGCGTAACAGCTTTTGTAAACAATGACTTCTCTCGATAATTTCTACAAAATCAACATCAAATCAACTCATCGGGTAGAGGAAGACTTCCCCTACCCGATGGTTGTATTGGATTGCGTGGGCGTGCTTTGAATTCCTAGAAATCTTCGAGAGAAGTCATTGTTTACAAAAGCTGTTACGCCCTAATTCCAGCTCTATCTAGAGTGTTCTTCTATTCTCCACGAGTGCCGACTTTGATTTGCCAATATGTTCTTTTTTTTAATATTCTACCGCAAAGGAATAATTTAGGCATAAGCCTTCATGGGGCATTCATTCGTTTCTATTAAAATCGGTAAGGTTTACTCAGTTGGCAAATATCATCATTTGAGTAACCGTTACCCAGTTTCCTCCATAGGCACGTTTACTCAAATTTGAGCAAAAGCATGTTTACCCTAGAGTCGGTGTATAATGAGTCACGCCAAGAGTGAAGCCAAGTCTACCTATTGAACTGTCAAACCGGCTACCTATCGTGCAAAGTAAACAAACATTACGATGCTATGAGAGGTCAACGAAAGGTATTGCAATAAAATATAAAATATAATCGAAGAAATGATCATAAACACGCAGTGAGCGTTAAATTGTCATGGGATACGTTTGGTAACGATCAGTAATGAGAATTTCTACTATTTTTTGTTAAGATGATTGGAAAAAATCACTGATATAATGATTTACAACAGCCGCTATTTTTTTTTGCTCGCTAGAAGTCATTTGAAGTTGATGTAGCAGTCCTCTGTTGCCAAGTGAAAAGAAAGGAAATCTTTCGCAAACCGTGATGCGAATTCAACTGTTTTTCTCTTGGCGTGACTCATTATACACCGACTCTAGTTTACCCATTTTTGAGCAAGTTTGATTTTGGCAGGACTGGGTGATTTTCGACTCAAAAATAAGTAGCTTCAAAAAAGCGTGTAGCCATAGGAAAATGAAAGGAGCGAGGTTTGTTGAGACCGTTGAGACCGAACGTTTGGGGTGGAAACCATGATGGTCAAGAGAAATGTAGTTTCTACAGCTGACAAATGAAGCGTTGTTGATGATTATCTCGAATACATTCGAGCAGGCACAAAGTAATTCATCGGTAATTCTCTGCATTTCGTTTGTCTTGAAAATAATTTGAGTGTGGTACGCTGACACGCACCATATATGGTATATAGGTATTTCGCTAGTGAACCTAAAGCATATCTCGCATAACATTTGAAATGGCCCTATCCTCGCAAAGTCAGCGAGAGTCTGCTTGAATCTGCCTGTGATAGGCGCATTTATTATGAAAAAGATCTGAATGGAATAAAAACACGGTGGCTTGATCCTGGTCACAATTGAAGACGACCATTCGTTCGCTATCAAGTATTTTCTTTCATATTTAAGTAATTAACAATCGAAAAGCTCAACAGAATAACAATTTTGAAGTCAATGAACACCACGAATTTCGATCTTCTGTTGAGCCCACTTGATTAGGTTTTACAAAATAATCTTATTAATAGATTTATTTCTTTACACGTTAATGTTTCCAAAATTCAGGTCTTCGAACTCCAGTTACTCCTAAAAACAAGTCAACTATAACGCAGTTCAGAAAATGTTGATTTGAGCAGATGGTACATTCTAGTACTAGAAAAATGAAAAACACGAAAAGTTCTTTCGATTCCAATGCTTTGTACAAAACTGAGATAAGTGTGGTAAAAGTAGACGATTCTCGCTTAACTACTTTGCACAATACGTATTTCTAAATCTCTTATAAAAAGTGCAAGTATGGTGCTTCGTTACACGGGAGGTAAAATTTCAAAATCTTCTAAATCATCATGCCGCACTAGCCGCAGCGACCGTTCGTTGGTTAAGTGCAGCACCGAATAGAAGGCTAACGATTTAGAAATGTTCTCACTCATCGATTTAGACAGAACGTGCGGCAGCTCTTTGAAGATTTCGGAAAAGCTGGTTTTGCCGTTGCCGGTAGGCTTACTGCTACTGCTGCTGCTAGGAGGTTCCATTTGGTTTTCACCAATACGTTCTACAATCAGTCGCAAACAGCACGATTTCAACTGTTTCATGTCCACCACCTTGGCCGTTTTCGCGTACGCAATGTTGATCTTAGTCACCTACAAGTTTGGAAAGACGTTTTATAATGAAATTAAAAGTGAAACAAATGATGTATGTACCTTGTCTGGGGCGCCTTCGAATTCAGTGGGTATGAAATCGAGGGTGGCATTAATGGATTGATTCCCGACGCCTACGCCACCAATTCCACTGCTTGCAACGTCGTCAAAAGTTTGATGATCGTCCCCGGAGCTACCAGCAATGCTTGGAACCGGGTCAGCTTCAGCGTCCATTTCATCGTTCTGAAATTTAAACTTACGGTTAAAGATCTTAAATTACCCATGCAATTGAAAAGAAACCCTTACCATTACTCGACTGCAATAGTTCTGATCCACAGGATTGCTGTAATCGTATTCATCTACCGGCACATCCGGTTCAGGGGCCGCATCAAACTCTTGTAGCTTCATACCTCGGGCAAATTTATTTACGTCGAAGCGATTTCGTTCCAAGTGGAAATCGCTTGGCAGCTTCAGTTTCTTCGAATCCCATTTCTTGCAAATTAAACTTTTCTGATGGGTGATGCTTTTCACGGGGCGATTTGAATTGTAAGCAGGAAACAATTCCTCTGCTACGCTGATCATGTCATCCAAAGTATCGGCTTCGAATCGTTTTTTCTTCCGAGTAGCTTTTTGTTTTGTCTTGCCGTCCGTATCCATTGTTTTCTGCATCGACAAGCTGCGGGGATTCTTGGTTCGCTTAAACTTCCAATGAGAAGGGCCAGCCCAAAACTGCGAGATGTTGTCCAATGCGCGGTAGGAATATTCCAAATTCACCGACGAAGAATCGATTGGGCGCATATCCTCAATAAGCACAGTTTTTCGCTTCAGACCACGACAGTTTTGAAGTGCAATCTGATCTTCCTCGTTCAATTCGTCGTCGTTATCCGCTCCGCCCATTGCATCCTGTGGTACGTAATCGATTATGTAAGCATCACCAACGGGAATCGGCTCAACTTCTGCATCTATATCGAACTGGACATCCAGAGCCGATCGATGCATTGCAAGTGGTTCCGCTTGACCATCACGAAGTTGCACGTCGTCGGTGTCCTTCATCTTATCTTCTTCGTCACTGTCGTCCTCTGCGGGTGCGTCTGTTATCACGTACCCTGCTAGCATCTGGTGTAGCTTGTGTTTCCTATGCACAGCGTACAGCGTAGTCTCAGTTTGTTTGCATTCTTTGTAGTTCTCTGTTTCCAAATCTACCTGCAGAGATTCCGAATCGTCCCAAAAGGCATAATCCATCCGCAGGCGCAGTTCAGCATTCTCCGTAGGAACAAGGTTCTGCATCAGTCGACTGGAACTATTTACATCCCCAACTACCGAGTTTAGTTTGGCAAAGAACGGATCTGTGAAAGGATTCGTGTCCAGCGGGCCATTGATACTCTCCTTGTTCTTGGTAATGGTACTGGCCACCTTTCGGACACGTTTCCGCTTTACTTTCGGTTCTTGCGTTGCCTTGTCGGCTCCTCCGGCCGGTACACTGACATTATTGTCATTGTCAGCACCGCCGTCATCCTCATCAACATCTTCGCGATTGTTGTCCATCCCGCGGGCAGCTGTAAAATTGCCGTTTGAATTATTAGAACCTTAGATTATTGAGCATTTCTGCGATTAAGACAAAATAGAAGCAATACTTACACTGCCGTGTTAGTTCCGAGCACATTCGCATTACGTCAGTGTGCACGGAATCGACTCGGAGACCGTAGACTTTTGTAGAAGCCTCCAGTGTCGAGCCAGCAACCTGAAAATTCTGCGTTGCATTCGTGTGACGCGACATCAGCTTTGCAAAGGTGTCAATGATCGTCACCGACCAGGCATTGTCCTTACTCAGTTTCTATAATAAGAAATATAAGTTTGATAAAAAAATGCTGCAAAACTTAATAGCCCCTAGAACTTATCCGGTAGGTACTTACATTATCTGAGTATAGTTGAAGGCACATTTTGATGTTTTCATTATTCTCGACGGTCGATCCCCCGGCTATTGCACTATCATCCAGGGTGGCCGACCGTCGTATTCGACGTTCCGCCTCGTCATCGTTCACTACCTATAAACAACGTTTGCGCATTATACAAATGTGTCGGGAACCCAATAAGAAATGCAAGATGCAAGCGGTGTGTGCATTTTCCCATTTGAAAGACGCGCATCGCACGACTTCGTCGAGATCACCCACTAGCTTCTTGCTATCTGCCACCAAATAAACAAACTCTAAACACTCACTTCAGGTGTAATTGATTTCGAAGACCGATACAGTCGAGATTGATCAGATCTCCGCAGCGGAGACTCCACCACGGCCACGGGCGTCATCGTTTCCAGGGAATACTGACGGTATCGCGCTTCGCCCTCCGGTATAATTTTCAGCCCCAACACAGAAAGAGCGCTTACTTTTCACGGCGCAATGGTTATCACTGAACTACTCCACGAACTGAACAACCGAGTGACACCAAATTCCCACGACACCAAACTCTTTTTCCGCGGTAGATTTTCGCACAATATTATGCAGAAATAAAGCGAAAATTTCCACACAAGCAATAAATTTTTCCCGTTTTGACGCTGGACGCTTTGTATCTGTGTGCAATGGAAAACAAACGGCGGTTGCTGTTTCACGACGCCACTGAACTTAAATTTGACAGTGACAGCTGTTCTAAATCGGTCCAACGAGAGGATCGATGGCGCACAACCACACCTAAAAGATTTTAAATGCTTGAGTTGCGCGTGTTGCCTATCACTGGGGATTTTGAACAAGGGGCTAGATGATATGATTTCAAGCATGCAAAAGAAGAGTTGTTTATTCCCCGTACAGACTATTGATTATGTCATGTAATATAGACTGTCTTGCAATGAGCACTCATACATAGGATTTCCAGTGCAAACTAAATGTGCTCATTGCAAGACAGATAGACATGATATCTAGATAGAGCTGGAATTAGGGCGTAACAGTTTTTGTAAACAATGACTTTTCTCGATGATTTCTCGAAAGACATGGCTCACCCTGGCAAATCGACATCACCATCGAGTAGAGTAAGACTTCCCCTTCCCTATGGATATGTTGGTTTGTATAGGCGTGCCACGAATTCCTAGAAATCAACGAGAGAAGCCATTGTTTACAAAAGCTGTTAAGCCCTAAATCCAGCTCTCTCTAGATAAAAGCCATAGTCTGTACGGGGTATAAGCAACAATCAATACGAAACTAACGATTTTAATTTGGCTCACTATTTGACTATCCTATTGGTCCCAAGCAAACGATTAACGTACCCCATTATAGTCGAAATTCTAGTACTACACAATCTTTGTTTTGACACACTATGAAAGTTTGACAGATAAAATGAGGGGTTATTGGTTTTTCCTATGTTTCGAAGGGTGAATCGATTAGCTTGGGACCGAAAGGAGTATCACAGCTGAGCCAAAAGTTTAACACGTTATTTCGGGACCTTCTAGTCTAAGAGTTACCTCTATGGTATAAGCACAAACGAAGTGACAGACGGAGCGGCTCGAAAACTTTGGTGACGCACCTGCTATTACAATTTTTCAGTGTACCACATGAAATGATACACTCTTTGCACACTGTCAAAGATCATATAGCACACAAAATCAACTATGTTCAAATCAAAACAAAAACTCTAGCCCATCTGGTGGCTGATGGCACAAGCTTCTAAGAAAATTCTATTGGCAAATCAAAGTTGGCACTCGTGGAGAATAGAAGAACTATGAGAGTGATGATGGTTTCAAAATTTTCCACGGAGAGGTATACGAGTGCAATCTTAAAATGCTTTTATTTTGAAAATGATGCATTTTATTTAAATCTGGTTAATGCTACGCTAGTAGAAAACTTAAGAACTACTTAATAAACATACAATATAGAAAAAATAATTTCTTTTCAGATTTTTATGTGTAAACATAGATTTCAGCTTTTCTACAACTGTAGCAGCAACCAGATATAAATAAAATGCTCTATTTGCAAAATAAAAGCATTTTAAGCTTGTACTCGTATACCTCCCCGTGGAAAATTTTGAAACCATCATCACTCTCATAGTTCTTCTATTCACCACGAGTGCCAACTTTGATTTGCCAATTACAGCTAACCACATTATTTAAATTGATTTCTTCGCCAGTTAGTCATCTGTCACTTCGTTTTTGGTATAAGGGTAGTCATCATATCTCGCATTATATTCATAGTCTGGCGGAGACAATGGTAGGAGCCAATCGAAAATTACTGTTTCTTTTTCAACCAATGTGGTGGAAGTATTAAAATCGTGACGATAATTAAATCGGACAAAAAATAAATCAAAATAGGTGATAAATTATCAATGCAGTTCTGAAAAAAATATACGTGCGTTTTTAGCGAGGAACATCAACGCGGCTAATTAATTAATTTATCTTTATTAGCGAGGCTTTCAGCCTTGGGCTGGTTCGCCTCCAATATCGACGCGGCTAGTGAATAAACAGCAAACCATAATTTTGTATACGGATAGAATCGAAATTTGGAGCATGCATTGCTATTATGCGTTAAAAAAGAGCAAGTTGATCGAAATACTTTGTAAATATGTCCTGATATTCCGCATATAGTTGTTAGCATTACAATTGTAAACAAACCCTGGTACGCAGCTGAAAAGAAAATGGAAAAAAAAAAATGTTTGGGGATTATTCTCAAAAGAAAATTTGACAGCTACAGGGAGGTGTCTTTTGCTAAATTTTGATATAATAGCGAGGTGTCATAAATTTAAAAAATCAACAATTATCAGTTTGTATGTTGTTAAAATACATCCAAAACATAATTTTTACAACAAACGTTAACATAACCAAACGGAATTATTGATATTGAGTCCACAAGGAAAGTGAAAATTCAATCAGAATGCGCCACCTTCATGTCGATCACGATACTTATGTAGTCGATCTTTCCCGAGGGTTTGTACCAGCGTTCATTACCGGTCAGTTCCAGTTAGATTAATGAAAATTACTCTGATTACTTTCAATTAATTAAAATTACATTATTATTTTGAAATATCTGTTATTACTCTCGATTACCGGAATTACTACGATTACTTGAATATTTTTTTTTCTTTGGTTTGTTTTCCATCAATCTTGTTTTCCGTGCTGAGCACCAATGCTACCGACGCCAAGGAGGCAGCTCCCACACCTGGACCCTACCTATCGACCCATCAACTCATGAACCGGGGACCAACGGCTTTACTTCCCTTCCGAAGGAAGGCGTGATCAGAGATGTTATGCCTCAGAACATCCCGGCGGTGCCGACTGGGATTGAACCCAGGCCTGCTGGAGTGAGAGGTAATCACGCTTACCACTACACCACAAAACATACATTAAATAAATAATTATGTCAACATTTTAATTAATTAACATATAATAAATAAATAATTATGTCAAAAGATAGTACTTATCCACCTGAACAACTTTGTAGAAGACACCAATTATCTAGAAAGGCACCAATCCCCTAAGATGTGAACTCTACAATTTTTGTCCAACAGAAGTACCATTCTGCCTCAGTGTGCGTGATTTAAAAAAATCACTCATAAAAGGATAAAACTGAGCCTAGTATTTCCTAGCTAAAGCGAACAATAAACCTCCCTGAGACAATTTTAATTTTTGTTCGAAAACAATAATATTCACCATAAATAAAATACAGAAGCGAAAAATATTACGCATTTCCCACCAAACTGGACAAATAAGCGTGTTTTCACTTATTAAAAAGCGTGATAAAAGTGCACGTTTATGTCAAATCGTTTTGTTGTCTTCGGTGCACTTATTTCTTATATAGTAGCAAAACGATTTGACGTAAACGTGCACTTTTATCACACTTTTTGCATTTTTGGAGCAGTCCAGTTTTAGTTGCAACCAACAATACATTCTCTCGAATAAACCGTATCTATGCATTGTAAGTATATTTCGATTTCATACTATGGCACGCATATACCATTTTTATACTAAGTTTGCATTCTCTCCCTTTATACTGACTTTTGCTTCGGTACGGAGAGCGATTTAGCGTAACTTTTATTTTTTAAATTTGTCGAACATCTTAACGGAATCCCTTTTTGAAGAGCTTTGAGTGTGCTGATATATTTCCTTTAAATTCCGTTATAATTGCTTATCTTTTGACATATACGCGTATTTCGTCTACTACTTGCAGACTTCATCAGTGCAAAGTGGTGTTGAGTACTTGGCACTGATGAAGTCTACAAGTAGTAGACGAAATACGCGTATCTGTCAAAATATAAGCAATTATAACGGAATTTAAAGGAAATAAACCAACACACTCAAAGCTCTTTGTAACTTTTATACTATTTAGATTTCAATATTTTTTTTAGTGTAATGTCATTGCTTTTCAGCTGCGTACTAGCGAAGACATCATATCAAGAAGACTGGCAACTCTTCCATTTTCTCATACGAACGCTATGAGACAGGTACAAGGCTAAAGCAGCTGAAAAGAAAACTGAAAAGTAATTTTTGAGAATTTTTTCCAAAAGAAAATTTGACAGCTATAGGGAAGTGCCTTCTGCTAAATTTTGAGATTATAGCGAGGTGTCGTCAAATTTTAGAATCAACAATTATTAGTTTTTATCAGGGTTACCTCCACTCACTTGCTATAAAAAATGTTTTTCGAAATTATGAAATCATGAAATAGTATAATCATAGAGGTAACTCTAAGACCACTGGGTCCCGAAGAAAATCATTATTATTTTTGGCTCACTCAGTACCAGAACAACGGTCCCAAGCAGTCCCAAGCTATTTCACTCACCCCTGCATGTTCTGCATGAATCCACACACCCCTGATGTTATCTGTCAAACTTTCATAGCGAATCAAAACAAACATAGTGTAGTAATAGAATTTCAACTAGAATAGGGTACGTTAATCGTTTGCTTGGGACCAATAGGCTACTAAAGTGGTGAGCCAATTTAAAATCGTTAGTTTCGTATTGATTGTTGTTTCTATGCCCAGGGAAGTCGAGAAATTTTCCAACCCGAAAAATTCCTAGACTGGACCGGGAATTGAACCCAGCCACCTCCAGCATGGTCTTGCATTGTAGCTGCGTCTTTACCGACTGAGCTAAGGGAGGCCCCAATAATGACGTTTTGCTACTTGTCAAATCGTATGGAATCAGTTTTGTAATTGCAAATCTTAAAACTAGGTGTCGCATGGCCTGTTTTACCTTTACGTAAATTCATCAATTCAATACAGCTAATATACTATAGAGGAAGAATAGCGCTGGTGTTCTCTTCGTTCCGATATTGAATAATACCGGGTACAGAACTGTCAAACTGCATAGTTTTTTCTCGCTTTGACAGTTTTGTCCATATTAGATGTAAGGAAAAGATGTTTCGACAGCGACGGCAGCGCTATTCTTCCTCTATTATATATTACCTCTATTATCAATTCTGCAAGGCAATTGAAATTACATTCAGAATGCGCCATCTTCATGTCGATCACGATACCAATGTAATCGATTTTTTCTTTAACGATTTCTTTAGAACTGCGTACTGGGTCAAGAAATGCTAAAGGAAAGTAATTTCTTTAGCATATTCTGTGTGTTTCTAGGCGAAACTGCACCAGTGCATGCGACACCTAGG